GGGGGGGGGGGGGGGGGGGGGGGGGGGCACAAGGGTCAAAATTCAAAGATTCAGAAAGCTTCATTCATCCTGAAGGAAGCTGCTGTGAAAGACTCAGGCTGAAAATAGGTCAAAACAACTAAAGTTGTTTAAAGATACCAGAGATTAGTTACAGCAGCATTTTAAAACAGAACAAATAAGAAATAAACAGAGAAAGTTAAAGTGACGTCTGGGCAATAAAGAGATTTCTGATTCTGATAAAATAAAGTGTTTTGGTCAGAGGTCAGCCCCTGCTGGAGGTCAGAGGTTAACTATACTGTAGGTCAGCCCCTGCTGGAGGTCAGAGGTCAACGATACTGGAGGTCAGAGGTCAGCCCCTGCTGCCCTCGGCACACTGGTGGAGCATCCTCAGCCTGACTGGAGCTTCCTCAGGGAGGGATGCTGTGTTAGAGGGGGGGGGGGCTGATACTCACCAGTAGTGAGATCTGTCCCTCCCGGACGATGTTGATGATGTTCTGGTTCTTCTTGGCGTCCTCGTCCAGCTCCCCAGCGGCTCCAGCGAAGCCCCTGGGTCCGGCCCCTCCTCCCGAGCCGGGGGTCCAGGGCTTGGGGCCGTCCGGCCGGCCGCCCCCGGGCAGGAAGGCCAGCCCCGGGCCGGCTGCGGGCTCCCCCCCCGGCTTCTGGGAGTCGGGGAAGACGCGAGCGGACAGCAGCTTGTCTGGAAACAGAGTGGCTGCTGAGCCCCAAAACAAACAGGATCCTCTGCTGCTACTGTAAGAAGGTGGTTCTGTTACATCTCTCCCCCCGTGAACATCCAGTCTTCAGCCCCCAGTCTGTGTTTATTAGCCTCTAAGCTATGCAGGTTTTAGTCTCTACATGAGACAGTTTAGTCATTTAAGGCGTTTCCCAGTTACAGTTACATTTCTGCATTTAGCAAAAGAAAAAGAGGGTTTGGCTTTCAGCTACAACACCAATCTGGATGTAAAAGCCTCTGCTAGCATGTGGCATCGAGCTAAGCTAAGAGTGGATCTGGATGTTAAAGCCTCTGCTAGCATGTGGCATCAAGCTAAGCTAAGAGTGGAGCTGGATATTAAAGCCTCTTTTTGTGAGTCACTCTGGATAAAAGCGTCTGCTGGATGCAGAAATATAAACGTAAACCTGCACCAACGGCCCCTTCGGTGCTCTGCAGGGAAACTGGCAGGAGATTCTGACCCGTAAAGACACTTTTTCTTAGCTTTTATCGGCGCTAACGGACCTGATGGCTTTGCTTTGGGTGGCGTTTGATCCCTGATGGAACCCTAAATGCTCATTCGAATGTTTATTAGTTGAGGACTCAGAGGATCCAGTCCAGTCCTCGCTCATTAAAATCCAATTCTGCTCATTACAAATTAACACAATTCAGTCAGAGCCAATTAAAACGTTTCCTCTCTGAGAAACCAGCAGAAACCTCTGTATCATTAAGCCCTGAAGCACCATGAGTTTGCCACATTTACATGCCTGCGCTTCGTAAAATGCTACCAGAAACTGGATGGTTTGTCTTCTCTGTGTCCTACCGGCATCAGAGAAGGAGGACAGGGAGGAGGAGCAGCTCAGCAGGCCGGAGGGCAGCAGCTCCGGCTGGTAGCCCGCCCCCCCCGGGGAGCGGTGCAGCAGGTGCAGGTCTGGGTCCATGGACTTGGACTTCCTCAGGTCCGACCACTTGACCGGAGACAGAACACAGTACTGTGGAGAAGGAGGGAGCAGGGAGAAAAACCTTTAACCTCCTGAGAGCCAACGCTTTTATTTTGGTGGGTGTTTCTGCTTTGTTCCAGATCTGTGGATCAGGAGGAGCTGATCAGTTTAAGAACTAGACTTTGTCCTGGTTCAGGTAGTTTTACTTCATAGAGGCTGAGTGGGTTTATCTTTAGTTTTAAAATGTCTGTTTACAGATTGAATTAAATGTTTTTGCTATTTGGTTCAGAGGGTCCAAATTACTTCTTTACAACATTTGAATTCCACAATAAGAACGAATTTTTCAGTGAGTTTCCTTCATCTAAAGACCTAAAAAGCTGATTTTTCAGTGAGTTTCCTTCATTTAAAGACCTAAAAAGCTGATTTGTCAGTGATTTTCCACAGAAATCCCCACTCAGATGTTCCTCCATTTAAATGGATCCCACATAGTATCCTCTCCTTTCTCAGGTCACATGGGACAGCAGCCCTGCTCCCATTGGCCCGTTTGTGTAAAATGTCTAAAAGCATTTTCCTTTAGATTTAAACAGTAGTGTCTGATATGAAGAACGAGCTGAGCTTTGGCCTCAGAGTGGAGAACCATGGAGATTTCTCACCTGGGTCTGGGAGCTGCTGCTGCCCAGGCTCAGAGGCTCATTGTGGGGCAGAGCGGAGCTCTTCAGCGTCCCCCCGCGGCTCCTCTCCAGGGTCCCCCCCCCCAGGGTGCCCCCCCCCAGGCCGCCCCCTGAGACCGAGCGCTTGTCGTGGGGCACGCGGGGCAGCGTGGACATCTGCTGGCTGGACTTGATGTAGGGCACGTCCAGGATCTCGTCCATGTCCAGGTCGTAGTGCTCCAGCTCCCCGAGCAGGGCCTGGGGGTGGTCGCCCCCCCCCATGCCGCCCGGCCCCTTCGCTTTCCCCCCAGAGGAGTCGGAGGCCGCCGCCGCCGGCTTCCCAGAGGCGGGGTCGTCCTTGCGGACCGGCGCCTGCTCCCCCAGAGCCGGGCCCTGGACCTTCCCGTCCGAGTCGGACTCGGTGGTCTCTGGGTGGTGCTTCAGGGGGGAGACCCTCTTCACCGGCCGGAACTTGCTGTGGACCTCGGCGAGCCCGGTGGGCTTGATGCCGCCGCCACCACCGCCACCCCCGCCGCCGGCATGGGAGGGGCCGCCGCGGCTCCAGTTGATGGCGGGCGCTGCACAACAGGGAAACGGTCAGAAGCCAGACGGGAGAACTGATGCCTGCTAGACGGGGAGACTGTGGTACCTGGCCTCTCCTCGGGCTGACCATCGCTCCTCCTGGAAAGTTCTGGGATGCTCTTCAAGGATGTGACAGAATACTGTGGAGAAAGCCCCCACAGATGGTTTGACCCACAGATATTTTGACCCACACATGGTTTCACCCACAAAAGGTTTCACCCATCGATGGTTTAACCCACACAAAGTTTAACCCATAGATGGTTTTACCCACAAATGGTTTTGCCCACAATAAGTTTCACCCTCAGATGGTTTGACCCACAGATGGTTTAACCCACTGTTGATGATACCTCTGGTTAAATTTCTTTTCTATGCTAAAACAGGCCTAATGGTGTCATTTAGTTTATTTATTTCATTTATTTAGCTTTTGGTTGTCTTTTAGCCTCCCTCCAGCAGGTGGCGCCCTAAACAACCACCTACGAGACCTTGCAGTCTCTTTATCCAACATCTGACCAGTTATGTTTGCTCCAGATGTGAACAGGTGTTGAATGGGATGATGCTCTAAGAAGCAGCTTTGTTTTCATGATCAGCAGGAGAACAAAAGATCCCAATAATGGGATCAGAATAATTATAGTCGTCGTTTTGGGTTTGATCATGAAGCCTTAAAGTGTCCAAAACAGAAAAAAAGACCCTTCTTTTCCCGTTTGTGCCCAAATATATGAGATAAACCCAGATACTGACCACTGAGTCATCAGAGAAGTCGATCTCATCCAGGTCCAGGTACTCAGGAGCCTCCATCTTCTCACATCATCAGCCTCACAACCAGCTGCACAAAGGCGAGGGGAGATCAAAGGTTAGACCACGGATAAAAAGAGATAAGATCAAAGGTTAAAACAGAGATAAAAGAGATAAGATCAAAGCTAAGATAAAAAAAATAAAGAGATAATATCAAAGCTAAAACCACAGAAAAAATAGGTAAGATAAAGGTTAAACCACAGATAAAAAGAGATAAGATCAAATGTTAGCCAAAGATAAAATAGATAAGATCAAAGCTAAAACCACAAATTAAAGAGATAAGATAAAGGTTAAACCACAGATAAAAAGAGATAAGATCGAAGGTTAGACCACGGATAAAAAGAGATAAGATCAAAGGTTAGCCACAGATAATAGAGATAAGATCAAATCTAAGATAAAAAAACAAAGAGATAAGATTCAAGGTTAGACCACAGATAAAAAGAGATCTTCTATCTTTTATGACAGATAAAATATAGAAGATCAAAGGTAGGATCAAAGATCAAATGTGAGATTTAAGATGAAAGAAAAAAAGACAACATAAATGTGAGCAGAGATGCGTTTAAAGGTGGGATCAAAGGTAAAAGCCTAGAACATTAAAAGGTAAGAATGATATAGAAAACAACAAAAAAAGGGCAACAAATATTTTTAAAAAAAGGATCAATCTGCTCATTCTGAACCCTTTGAAAACCTTTGACCCAGATCTTAGTTTAGAACTGTAACTGGTCACAGAGTAGATTAAGGTCATATTCTACTTTCTGATCTCTCTAAGAAGAGAAAGGGTTCAAAAGGGTTTAGAAATATTTCACAAACCAAACTAAAAACCCACTTTTCAACCCGCCTTTTATCACATTTGACATCTATTTGAATTGATTTTTTAATGTAATTAATACTTTGTTCTACATTTGCTCGAATATATTTATATTGTATATTTGATTCTAGCTGTAATTCATTAATTTGAATTTGTTTTAATACTTTAATTTCATTTTAATTTTCCTTATTTGTATTTTTTTTTTAACTCAGGTTCCTCAGTTCAGTTTAGTACTGTGGACTTTTTTTAGTTTAGATTAGTTTAGATTTAGTTTTCTTTATTTGTGTTTACTTTAGACTTCTGTGTGTGAGCGAGAAGACTTTTGGGCTTTTTCTGTTATTTCTGTAAAGTTCTTTGAGCGACAAAAACTACAGAAAAACAAAGGAGGTGCAAACAGGAAATGTCCCAATCCCAAAAAGAGCTGAAGCCTAAGACGCAGGCTAACTTTTCAGCACATTAGCTGCTGTTCTGCTCGGTAATTCTGCAGATTTAAAGCCAAACGGGGGCCTGAGCTGCTGCCATCAAAGGCAGAAACCAGCAGGACGATGGGGATTAATCACAGCCGGCTGAACTGGGACTTTCACCCACATGTGGCCTCACGGTTCCTCAGATCCAGCAAAAAAAAAAGGACCGCAAAAGCAAAGTACGGTAGAACCTCTACAGAGGAGTTTAACTGTTTCCAGGAGCGACTTTTTAAAATATTGATAAAATATTGGTATTTTGGTTCAAATATTTCCATCAGAATACACTGTAATTCCTAGAATTGGTCCCAAAAACCTACGATAACTCCTTAATCAATACTGCAGATAATTACACATAGCAAGAAAACTAATGACTTCTAGAAGAGAGATGGAAAAAGAAATAAATGATAAAGAAATAATCAATAAAAAGGGTTTTTATTGGCAGGTAGAGTCTGAGATACAGGACCAACCCTAACTTACTCTTTACTTTACCACCTGAACTTTAAACTAACTTAGCTTATTTATTTCTACTTAATTTGTATAGATTTTTTTCTATGACTTCGACGTCATACTTCGGGTGTCGAGTCGAATATTGATCAAATTTCACTTCGGATGATGGAAAATTCGTATGTTTAGGCATCGTAAGTAGAGGTTCTCCTTATGATACCTAAACATATTAATATTTATATATTATTATAATATTAGTAGTTAATTTTCTTGTTAACAGAAATCGGTTTAAACCTAGATGAGGGCAGCTAGCTGAACCCTTTAGAGGAGAAGCCTTCACCCCAACTGGCTCGACACGGTTTTTATTTAATTTTTATACATACACATATTTTCTATGACTTCAACGTCATGTTGGAAGTTTAGTCGAATATTTGCTCGAATTTCACTTCTTATGCTGTAAAACTGGTATGTTTAGGCATCAGAATAGAGGTTCTGCTGTGTTCCTGATTGGTTGGAAGACGTCCCGGCGACTTCCATAATCTGATCAGTGAAACAAACCGCCCAGCAAACAAATTGGTTAACACACTTATACGTCTGTATATTAAACTCCCCGCTGGGAGTTTAAGACTTTTTCAGCATCCTCTGTGGTGCATTCAAGTGCTGGAGGAAAGCTGGGACATCTGGGCTTTAATCCAGCCTGACGCTGTTTTCTCTGGTTCTGAACTCAGATTCAAATCAAATGTATGACTTTGTGGCTCTGGGTTTATTTTCAAGTAAATAAATGACCTATTTTTCTGTGTTTTTTGGGCTGAATGTCACTTTTAGTTAACATTTTACTTGATTTAACACAAAACGGAGCAGATTTTGAGATTTTTTCAAAGAAATGTAGCCGAAGTCACCTCTTAGTATCGATTTAATACAAATTTAGGAGGTTTTCTTCATTTTTTAAGCCACACTGTCAATTCTTTGTGTACATTTACAGCCAATTAACCACAGAACCAAGTCATCCCAAATCACACATTTCAGACCTTCAAATAAAAGCCGAAAATAAAAGACTGATTTTAAAGCTGTAAAACGTGGAGAGAAAAGCTGGTTTTCGGCTCTTTCTTGCTCCTGTAAAAACTTGACATTCAGGGAGTTTCTGGAGCTCCGATCACACACAAAATGAGCCGTTTGAGCCTGAAAATATCAGATCTGCTGCAGAACAGAAAACACCAGCTGTAAAAGCAACAAAAAAAAAAACTGCAAAGGGAACAATGGGAAAATCACCAGTGTCCTTCATTTCTTCAGACTTTAGGCAAATGAGAGGAAATAACAGGAATGAAGCCACATTCTGTGATTTTTTTCATTTGTTTTTCCTCTAATTAAGACAAGTATTTGTCCTTATAAAAGTTAGAGGATAAGAATAGTTGCAGAAAAACTTGCAGTTATACATAAAGGCCTGAAATTAGGTTCTTTGAGGGGTGAAACACTTTACAAATCTACAGTAAACCCACATTTTAGAGCGATATTTCCATTATTTCAGCTCAATTTTCAGTCATTAAAGGGAGTGTTGTGGCTCCCTGGTTTGGATAAGTGTTGGAAAGCGGTTTGGGAGCAGTTTCCCGGGTCGGGACCTGGAGAAGGAGCCGGTTCGGACCTTTCCTCCAGCTCCGACAGCTGATTAGATCCCGTGAAGCAGCAGGAGGCTAATTAGCCGATTAGCTAGCGGCTAATTAGCTACGCTAGCGGCTAATCAGCATCAGTTGGGCTAACGGGCAGCTAGCGGGCTAACGGGCAGCCAGCTGGAAAAACCGGCTCAAAAGCGACAGTCGGGCGGAAACCAGGAGCCCGGAGCCGGGAGCCGTGAGCTCCGGGCCCCCGGACGCCCGGGGGACGCGGTACCTTGTCGAAGTCCGGGGGGGAACCGGGGGGAATCGGCCGGTAGGGAGAGCCGGAGCGGCTAGCGGCTCCGCTAGCTGCAGGAATCCTCGGTTCCAGCTGTTTTCCTTTTTTCTTCCTTCTGTCGCCTCGCTGTCTTGGAAAAGCACAAAGACTTTGACATATGGAGCCAGAGGAGATGGAGGCGAGCAGAGGGCTCACTCCCAGCCGATTCCCGGGGACCGAAAGGCTCCAAACACACGCTTTCTGACGATTGTCTGACTCACAATCTTTGTTCAGTTTGTGTGTTTTTCTTTGTTTTTCTGAGTTACTTTCAGCCATTCCTCTGCAGAAAAGCGAAACATGCCAACCTAAAATGTGAAAAATGACCCACTGAAAACCATCTTTACGGCTTATTTGTTCTTTTTAAAATCTCCCATCAATAGAAAAATAATAATGATTTGATATATTGATAAAAATAATCAATTGATATTCATTCATATCTATCTGATTATTATTTATTCTCTCTATTTAGACCACATTTGGCTGAAAAAAGAAAGAAAAGATCATCACAAGCCGTAATAATTATTCCAGAAAAGATCCAAGTTTACTTAGATAGAAACAAATTACGACGTACATCATCTGTAAAAAAAAGTTTCAAATGTACAATTTCAGTCCATTAAATTCCAAAATGAGTCCAATCTAATTCAGAGCCCGTTAAAATAAAGTTTCTCCTCCAAATAAACCCAGCTCTGCTTTTTTTTAATAGACGATCTTCGGAGGCTGGATGGAAACGGGGCCGTTACTCGGTCCGTTATTCGGGAATAAAAACATCAATAAAAAATTAAACGTTTTCTCTCATTGGCCCGACAAATTTTATGAATGAATAAAATATTTAAAACAGGACTCTGTAACTCACTCCATAAAACTTGATTTTAATGACTCAGAAAGGCTGCTATTATGTAGTCTTTAGAGTTTTTTAATTAGAGTGTTTAAACGATTTTTAGACACTTTTGGAAAAAAAATTGAATCCCCACAATTAACTTACGGCAAAAAAATTTTTTTTAGACTTTTATCTATACGCAATTAAATCCCAGCTTTGGTTTATTTGTTTTAAAGAGGCTACTGAAGCCTTTTTTTTAAGGCCTTTGAACGCAGCAGCTGGACGGTCAATCAGACCTGTGACGTCACACGTTCAGTCACGTAACTTTCAGCTCGTCAGGACGGAAAAACGGGCAGAATGAGCCGTAAATTAGAGCAAATAAAAGATAGATTAAAGAATCACGAAGCCCCAAAAGGAGCTGCTTCACTAAGACGCAGCAGCGCCACCCAGTGGAGGTCTGTGGGAGATAGGAGGAAAAGGAAGGAAGGGAAGGAAGGAAAGGAAAGGAGGGAGAGGAAGAAGGAAAGATGATAAGGAATTCAAGTCAAGAAGCGGAGAAAATCCCACAAATCGCTTTGGGAATCAGACAAATTACTAAAATAAATAAAAAATAAATTAGGATATCTCAAATTTAAAGTTTGAATTTCTGCTTTTGCCCTCCAGAATCAGCTCTGATTTCCTCTTAATGAGCTCTGTTCCATCGGATGTTACAGACAGAAGTGGAAACATGTGTTCAAAACCTGGAAACAGCTTCACAGAGAAGCAGAAACTCAACATTTGGGGGTAATTTTGGACTTTTTGCTTCATTAGCAGCCAACCAGACGCTTCTCACCTTTGACCTCCTCTAGTTTCAGATGTAAAACACATTTTTCTGTGTTCACCAACACACGAAAATGAAGAAGAATCAAAGTAAAGATGAACATTTAGACTTTATTGAGGTGAAATGAAGCTGGATTCAGGCTCCACAAACACAAGCACACATTTACTCTCACATCAGACATCATAGATACTTTATTATTTCAAATTTGGTAACAAAAACAGCACGGAAAGAAAATCCTGAGCTTCAAATGAGAGAAAAATCTACTCTACAGCACCAGGAAACATGCAAAGAGTTATACGTTTTCTTTGTGAGATCAGGAAAACATTGAGGCTCAGAGGTCTGATTTAGTTTAACATGATAAAGCTGGAATCCTGAAAATGACAGAACAAAACCATAAAAAACATCTTGAAATGTGTCATTTAACTGGATTTTTGACACCTCCGATGTAGGAAAACCTACAAATTAGCTTCTTGCATAAAAGTTTAGCTTGAATTGAATAACTATTTGTCCAAAGCAACAACAAAAAAAAGGCAGAAACCCAGAAATCGAAGCTCCGGCTGTCAAAAACCTAAAGAATAAAACATGTCTCCCCTTATAGGAGAGAATTGGGGATTCCTCCAGCTTCAGGGGTTCGTCCCCACAGCCAGAGTCGGTTTTTGGTCCAAACTCAAACGTTTAAATCTCCTTTGTCTGCATCTTCTGGCTCGGTTCGACTCAGTAGCTGCAGCAGAAGGAGAAAAACAAAGCGGCTTCGGTCATTTTTTTGAGTTGAGGTCTTCAACAATCATGTTGATGGCATTTCGTTGCCGTTCAGTTTTCTTAAAAAAAAATCAATAAAATTAACATTATACTGAAATTTTTTCACTTTCTATTCAGCTGGTTTTGATCACTTACGTCTGAACAAGTGATTTATATAAAATATTCACAGATTTTTACCTTTTGAATTCAATATTTTCGCAGTGAAAGCAATTCTTCTGATTAAATACAGAAAATGGGGATTCAGGGTGTTGAGGTAAATCCTCCTTTTCCCTTCACAGGTGCTTCAAACGCGTCAGATTAACGGCAAAAAGTCCAGAGTTACGCTGAAGAGACTCAGTTTGATCTGAGAAACAGCTTAAACTCTGAATTATATATAAATAATAGCTGCATTATATATGTATATGTATATATATGTATATATATATATACATATATTTGTTTTTTTAAATCTATATATGCATATGGATTATTCTATCTATCTATCTATCTATCTATCTATCTATCTATCTATCTATC